AAGTAGTCAGGCAGCTGGACTACATGATCACTGTAGGTCCCTTCCAACTGAAATCTTCCCTTCCCTTCCCTTCCCTTCCCCTCCCTTCTTTGCCTTTTATAATAACTAAGTTTTTTAATTGCTGACATTGAAATATTTCATCTGATACATTTCTTTTTTTGCAATGGCCAAGCATGCTTATTCTTTTAGGCAAGGATTTGAAACTTATATGGGAACTGTTAACAGACCTTATCAAAGTTAAGAACTTCTAATGTGTAGACAAAGGTCCTGCACAGCACATGACTATTCTTATCGGGATACCCTCTTTATTTTTGTGGTGCCCAGATTCATTCAGCATATACCTTCTATATTCTTTAACACATAAAGAAAGGTCCTAAAAGACTCCTTCATGATCCAGGTGTGATCCATTCAAAAAGCAGCTTCTCTCTGCTGTCTGGACTCACCTCTCTGTGATTAAGTTGTATGCAGTGTGCAGACAAAAGGAGTTGAATAAAGAGTTTAGCTTATGCATCATTCTTTATTCTGACTTTGGGATACTTCACCTTGCAGCTCTAATAATGATCTCCTGAAATAATTTTGTGTGAGACAGCTTTACCTACTGGTGCAGTACATATGGAGTCTGGTTGAATGTCACCTTTCCCTTGGTACAGGTATTGTCACTGGTGGCAGCTAAATACCAGGCAGGTATGTGACAGTGCTGAATGAGAATGGCACTGGTACAAATGACTGCAGATGAGGCTTTTACACAGTGCTCTCTGCAGTATTTTTGGTGAGCTCAGTTTTGAATGCTTGCTTATTGACACTACTACTAGCTAATAGGCAATGCCTGAGAATGAATGAAAGAGCATTTTCCAATAAGTTCAGAACATAAGTATTGATGGGCAGATTGTAATGATAACATGCAAACGAGAGAAAAACAGCAGGAAACTTTCAGTCCTTTTTAGTGATAAAAGTCTGTAGTGCAATCACGTATGGGATCTGAAAGTAAGCTTACTTGCATTTTAAAGCTCGAAAGGTAATTTTCTTGCACACACACAAGATAATCGTTACTTCATCTAGAACATCCCCTGTTTTCCTGCTTCAGAGCAAGTTCCTGCAACAGAGAAATCAGCCTGCCAATTTAAAAGACTCAGATTTTAATTTGACTCTCTATACACATTGCTTGGATGTAACTGTTGCAGATCCATCCAAAGAAGGAAATATGTGAATATTTGTTGAACTTTAGACACTGAATATGCCCACGTTGCCAGTCCAGGATTTATGGGGTAAAACTGACTGTTTTTTTGTGCACTAAGAAGTCATATCTTTTAATAAAAATCAGAGACTCAAATATATTAATAAGTCCAACTTTGTGCAATTTGTTCCTCTTTCTTACCCATAGTGATTAAAATCTCAGGTTTCGGAGCATGCCTCTTCTGTTCATGTCAGATTCCATTTCTTCTGAACAAACAAGTGATATTTCTCTCTCTTTTCTCTTTCACCCACTGTTTATTGCCTCTTATTTCATGCTTACTGGCGTTGGCTGTGTCAGCATTCCTAGACCTACCAAAAATTTAGTATCTGCTGCCAAGATGCGACTTGCTCACTATGAAGCACACTCTACTATTTGAGAATATATTATCAGAAATAGTGTTATTTGATGGTTGTTCTAATCTTGATGCCTCCCTCATAATCTCATTTATTAGGTCAGGAATTCCCATGTTATGAGATAATGCAGACAGTCACTCCTTAGTTTCCATCTCATTATTCATGAACTTCTAGACCTTTATCAATTCTCCACTCTTCTCAAGTTGCAAAGCACCATTCTCTCAATTTTTCCTTCCTACAAATATTGCTCCCTGTTTCTGGTTGACTTTGCAGCTCTTCTCTCTCTTTTCTAACTTTACCACATTCTTGGAAAATGGGAGATAAGGAGGTACCAGAAGTCCAATAATTCAGATGTGTGAATGGAAAGTGGTGTGACATTTCCTGTTTCCTCAACACCACAGAACAGTTGAGGTTGGAAGGTAGCTGTCAAAACCATTGAGTCCAATCCCACTGTTCAAGCAGGGTCAAACAGAACCAGTTGCCCAGGACTGTGTATGCTTGGGTTTTGAATATTTCCACGGATGGAGACTCTGTAGCCTCCCTGGGCAACCTGGGCCAGTGCTCAGACATCCTCACAGTAAAAAGTGTTTTCCTGTGTTCAGGTTGAATTTCATTTTTTTAATTTCTGCCCATTGCCTTTTGTCCTGTCAGTGGACATTAGTGAGGAAATCTGGCTCCATCGTCTTTACTCCCTTCGACTACTTATACACATGGGTAAGATCCTCCTGAGCCCTGTCCAGTCTGTCAGCTTCTCTATAAAAGGTGCTCTGGTCTCCTAATTATCTTTATGGCCTTTCACTGGACTGACTCTACATCTTTCTTGTACTGGGGAGCCCAGCACTGGACCCAGCACTCCAGACAGGTCTCCCCAGGTCTGAGTAGAGAGGAAGACTCACATTCCTCAACTTGCTGGCAGTCCTTGCCTAATGCAGCCCAGGAGGCTGTTGACCTTCTTTGCTGCTACAGTGAGTTGCAGACCCATGTTCATCTTGTTATACATTGAGACACCAATGTCCTTTTCTGCAGAGCTGCCTTCCAGCCGGTCAGCCTTCAGCATGTACTGGAGCCGAGCATTCTAGCTCCCATGGAGGACTTTATTTCCTCTTCATGAGTTTCATGAGGTTCCTCTCTGCCCAACCCTCCAGCCTGTTGAGGTCCCTCTGAACAACTGCACAACCATCTGGTGTATCAGCCACTCCTCACAGTTTTTTTTATCATCTGTGAATTGGCTGAGAATGCACTTTGTCCCAGCATCCAGGTCATTAATGAAGATATTAATCTGCATTGGCCTCAGTATCAACCCCTGGAGTACACCACCAGTTGCTGACCCCCAACAGGAATTTGTGCCATGAATCACAACACTCTGGGGCTGATAGTGCAGCCAGTCAACTCAACTCCTATCTAATCTGTACCTTGTAAAATTTTCTGTGAGGATATTGTGGGAGACAATGTCAAAGGCCTCACTGAAGTCAAAGTAAACAGTATCCACTGCTTTTCCCCATCCACCAAGACAGTTGCCTTGTTTTAGAATGCTATCAAGTTGGCTGAGCATGATTTTGTGTATTTGGAAATGGTTTCAAGAATTAGTTGCTCCATTACTTTCCCAGGGATTGAGATAAGGCTGATCAGCCTGTAGTTTCCCAATCCTCTTTCTTTTCCTTTTTGAAGATAGGAGTCATGCTTGTTTTCTTCCACTTCTCAAGAATCTCTCCCATCTGCCAGCTCTGTCAGCAGTCATGGATGTATCTTGTGAAGCCAAATGGATTTACGTATGTCTGCTTTGTTAAAGTGCTCACCAAACTGGTCCTTCTCTGCTAAGGGTAAGCTCTTTGCTCCAGACTTTCCTTCTAGTCTCAGGAGCCTGAGATTTCTGAAGGCTGGTCTTCCTAGTAAAAACCGAAGCAAAGAAGGCATTGAGTACCTCAGCGTTTTCTGTGTCACTTGTCACCAAGTCCCCTGCTTCATTCTGAATGTTTTCCATAGTCTAACTGTGTTTTCCCATGTTTTCCTTAGTCTTACTTTTACTGTTTATGCAATTGCAGATCCCTTCTTGTTGCCCTTAACATCCCTTAATGAACTCAACTCCAGATTGGCCTAGACTTTTCTAACCCTGGTTAAAAAAGAGCAGCTGGTTAGACCAAAGAGCAGTCTTATGCTGCTAGGTTCCTGTTTCCACCTCTTCACCTCTTGTACACATCCTTTTCATGTCTGAGTTCAGATAGGAGCTTCTTGCTCATCCATGGTGACCTTCCATCTTTGCTTGTTTTTTTCCTTCCATTGCTTTTCTGCCATTCATAAAGAAGGCTGGGACAGGTCAAGCCATGGTGATATGAGGAAAGACCAACAAGTGACATGGCAGGATTGCATGAATTTTGGCATGATTGCATGAATTTTGTGAATGCCAGAGACCCTTGAGGATTAATCCTCTAAGCTTTATCCATGGGTAGAAATCCAAAAAGTACAGTAAAGTCTTTACACGTGCACTTTGCAGCATATTACAAAAGGGAATCAGGTTCTCCTATCAGAACAATGAGCTGTACTGACTCAAGTTGACTAAGCTGATTTGTCATGGAGTGATGGGACTCACTATTTTCCATATGTGTCGTTGTTCCCTTTATCCCACCCACTCAAAGCACACTGAAATCATTTCTTGTTAATGCTAAAAATTACAAGGGATCATCACCACAAAAAAAGAGATAATCTCTGCTATTTTGGGGGCTTTTTGTGGAGTCTGTTACTAAGGACATGAGTAAGTGAATAACATTAAATGGAAGTTACACACAGGCTGTTGTTTGTTTAGGTTCTAGATGAAAGAAGAAATAATCTAAGACAAACTGATTTGCTGAAATATGTGGTGATCAAAGACTCATTTTACACCACTTATGAAATAGGAAGGGGAATAAAAAGAGAGGAAGGAAGCTGATGAAAGTCAGTAAGGCTACTGAAGGTTGCAGCTGGTAAGTGAAGCCACCTCTGAGGGCTGCTGTCATGGGTGGAGGAGGTGGCAGAGGGCCAAGGGCTGTTTGTGTGGTTTGATCCAAAGTGCAAAATGAAGTCAGAAGGGCTTCTTTTGATTTACTTGGTTCACTTGCAGCATCCTCATTCTCTGGGTATCCTGTTAACAGTTGTCTCTACTGGCAGTCAAAACCACAAGCCCTGACTGCTAGTTTTCAACACACCCTCACTCTTCGCTTTCCCTGCTTCTGTGTGAATTTGCAATACTAGGATGGATCTTGTTTTCTCAGGCCAAACATGCCAACACTGCACTACGTGTAAGCCCTGAAGAGGGGGCACACTGTGACAGCACTCTGTCCTTGCCCTCATGGGACCAATGACCCAGAGGATGTGGGCAAGTTAATCAATTACACTCCTGCAGAAAGGCAGGAAAAGACCTGGGGGAGAACAGACCCCGTGGCTCACAAGTTTCTTTTCAGTTCATGGACTGGGATCTTGCATATTTGAGAAAATTGAATCAGGTAATCAGAGTTGGCTTCCAGCAGGCAGAACCTAAGCCAGGTGGTCGGGGTAGTGTGTGCTTGTATGGGGGGAGGTGGGAGGTTCCTAGGCACAATGTCCCTCAAATGTCAAATCTGATACGTATTTCAGCAGCAGCAAAAATAGCTAGACAGTGCATCAGGTTTGTGCAAGCAGTTTGTTTGGCCCAGTCATTGTTGTTTTATATTCTCCAGGGCCTCAGCCCTAGGTTTGGTTTCAGAAGTAGTAAAAGGAGTAATTTTATTTGGCTTCAAGAGGCCCTCAGTATTTTAAAAGGTAGTAGAGGCTGGTGGGAGGAACAATTACTTGAGGTACCAAAATATTTGGTAGAAGGAAAGAGTCAGTGAAAATGCACTGTAGTCACTTGAGAATTAGATCTTGTTTTTAATGTAGTGTCTCAAAATCAGAATAATTATAAGCCAGAAGGTATTTTAGGTACCTTTTCTTTGCATTTTTTCTCCCCACACCTCAATCCCCCAAAGAATGAACTGTCTTAGAAGGTCTGTAATCTCCAGTGTGTTTTACCTGTATAATAAGCAGACAGGGACAAATTCATCTCCATCCCACCCTAGTGAAGACAAGACATACGTTCTGGAAGGGAAATGTGTTTTTAACTCAAATGGGGACATGTGAGAGTTGCCCTGTCCTGGGCAACCAGAGAATTTTGGCTCTCTGCCTTCATTTGTTTGTCACACTGGCTTCTGCAATGCTGACTGTGGAAACCGTGAACGATTTCAGCTTTCCATTAGCTGTCGCCTACGATCTAGTTTAGTATTTCAGTTCTGTGCTGCTTGTTATTTTAATTTCAGGAATTAATGCTTCCCTGGAGGAAGTTGATCAAAGAAAGGCTAGACAGTTAACGGAGTACTGTATGTGTTTCAGGTCATCATGCTGGGGTTTCCAAGAGTCACTAGGATTTGAATAAGTCTTCCTGGGACATCCAATGGATAAGCCAGTGAAAACAGCCAACCCAAAAAGATCAAAACTGGTACCACATCATCTGGCTGGAGACTTTGATGATGTGATAAAGCTGACATGGGTCTCATTTGACCAACAGTACTGTTGGGTTAAAAAGGACAGTGAACACATTAGGGAAAGCTCTGAGAGGAATGAAAACAAGCTTAAACAGAAATCACAGCAGAACTTCTGGATGTATTCCTAGCCACAATCCAGCTCCATGTCTAGGACCACATGCAACAGACAAGCTTCCACTCTCCCTACTTGAGAAACTTGAACCAACAAGTCATCTAGGGGACAGGGTCTCCAGGCCTTATGCTATGTGTGACCAGGCCACTTCTCATGCAGAGTGACTGAATTGTTCATGTGCCTAAGTATGCCCCTGCATGAGAAGAAGGTTCCTATGCTTTTTCTAATGCAAACAGAGAAAAATCTTGAGACTGTCTAGGAAACACAGATGGGAATTGAGGTCTGCTGTTTATATTTTTACCTTTTGATTTCACGAAGTAGCTTATCTTGTGTGATGTTTAATAAGGGGAGAGAATGGATTTGAAGTAAGTTGATGTACTTGCCTGTTTCACATGTCCCTAGAAAAGTAAACAGTAAACCTGTACTAGGACATGAAGGGAGCAGCCAGTAAGCCCAGGGAAGAGAGCACTTTGTCAGTCTGGGCTGTCTTCCTGAGCTCTTGCTGGAGAAGGGTGGCAGGCTGGGGCCAGACTGACTTTTAAGTTCAGATGAGGACCACGCTTGTGAAGTGATACTCGCAATTGTCATGTTTTTGTTCACACAGTGGAGCATTGGGCTCCTCTTGGGTGACCCTAGCCTGGAAGCTGGGCTCCAGGAGGGCATTTAGCAGACTCTGACTGCTAGCAGGCATTCAGCCCATGGGGCTGAACTGTTGTTAGTATAGGAAAGACTTCCTCCTGTCCCCATGCACACTGTGTGGCTGTTAGGTCCTCAGCACCAACTGCTTCATCCCACTGCTTCACTGCTGCCAAAGCCCAGTTTACTGCAGATCTATAGATAATAGGTTTCTTTAGACATGACCATTGTGATCATGAAAAGATTTTAATCTCTACTATTTCTAAAATATGTTTAATGTCAGGTAAAACGCTTTCTATATATAATTTTATGTATCTTGATATATAAGGTATAGGTATAATACAGATATATATGTAATGTTAGGTATTTGGATATATTTGGAACCTATAGCAGTATAGATGTGTCCAGGTAACACAGGAGGAAATTCATCTTCATGCTACCTTTTGTGTAATAACCTCACTGCCCCTGGCAGATCAGCTCTCTCTGTCACAAAAGGGTCCCAAACTTCTGCTTCTGATTTGGGGACAGAAGTGATTCAAGCCAGCTGAGGTGCAGCAGGCATAGGGAGTGGCAATATAAACATCTCCTATCAACAACAGCTCCTGGTTTGTGAGTGGGAAGGAAGACTGTTTGCACCTCTCCTGCCCTCAGGTCATTGGGCACTTTGGGATTGGTGTCTTCATCCATGATATGATGTGGTGACAGTTACACACAGCTAGCTGGTCCCTGTTTGGATCAGTGCTGTGGGCACCTCTGATACAGATTTGAAAAGATAAAAAAAAGTGCAGACAAGACAGATACTGTAATTCTGTGATTCTGTGATACTCCTATTCTGAGAAATTAATTATTTTTTTTTTTAACGTAGTATGAAGAAGGTGTGCATTCTGGAATCCTGCACTTCTGATTTGTTTATAGCTAGAGACATGTCAATTTTTTATTTCCTGTAGTCATTTCCTTCAGTTCCCTCCAGCCTCTGGTATAAAGTGATCAAACGGTAAAGTCCAAAGATTATGATTACTCATCTCTTCACAGCCTGTTGTATCATTCCAACCATGAGACTCATCTTTCAAGCATGTTCAATGATCTTCACACTGAGCAATCTGGTGCCTTCTCAGTCACAATCTCCTGGTAAGTTCAAATCCAGAGATATTTATTTAAGAAATTGACACATTAATTTGTAATATTTCTGTGCACACTTTACCTCATGTGTTACAATATTCAGCACTTTTTTTTTTTGGTGAAAAGAATCAAACAAACAGAAATTGATATCCAGCAGAGATGAAAGTGGATTTTTTAAAAGAAAGTTATGATGGAAATAAGAACAGATTTCTATGACAGTTTTCTAATTAAAAATCAAGGTATTACTTGGTAAGCTTGTGTCTATTGTCAAAAAGAGAAGTACTCAATTTTTTAAGCAGGACTACTTACTAAGGCATAGGTTCTACCAGAGTATGCTGCATCTGAAAATGACTAGCCTTCACATTGAACAAAGATGGATAAAACAGATTCCAGGAAATACTTCAGCACTTAGTCCTCCAGAAGGATGAACAAGGTGAAAATATCCAGCAATATCTTGTGCCTGAGAAAACATCAAGGTAAAAATACTATTAAAGAGCAAAACTAATAAAGACATTAAGACTGGTTATTTGGCTGCCTAAATATAAGAACATCTCTATTTCATGTTTGTCTGCAGTGCCATTACTTATAGCTTGCCAAAGATAAATGGATTCTTACAGAAATCAAACACAAAGCCCAACACATAGACAACTAATATAATTTTCACTCTTGCTAATTTATCACAAGTTCCTTGTCGTTAATTTTATAAGGAGAAATAAATGCTTTAAAGTTACACCCTCATCTTATCAACCTATAAATCATCTCTCTCTTCTGTCGTGTGCATGGCAAGTACCTTTTCCAGGCAATGCAGCACCAGCTGATTCTCCAGTGCTAATAGTTTCTGTGAGTCACTGGCCCTCCTGTTACAGAACGTGACTCCTACTTCTCCTGAAATGGCAACCACCTACATCTATGCTGTACTGATGGGATGACTTTGTGAAAAAAAGTGGAAAATTACAGTTGTGGTGTTTCTTTGATGCACAGTGTGGTGATGTGTAGCAATGGTTAGTGATCTGAAAAAAACCACAGTTTGATGGGCTATAAGAATTAGGCTATAAGGATTGTGTTTTGCCACAAAATGTTTATAAAAAATATCTCTCTTGTGGTCCCATTCCTTTTCACAAAAAAAAAATTAGATTCGGTCTCTGTTCTGCGCATTCAATTCAGTAGTCTTGTGCTCGAGGAGCTGCACTTTCGCCTACATGTTTTCCTATTAATGAAATGAAACTATTCTCATAGATAAGTATAATTAAGGGTATCTAAAGAGTGTAGGCTCAGATCTGGGTCTTGCTCTCCAGTGGTTTCTATACAGTGTGCTGCAATATGTGGAAGTTCAACATGTGGTTACTTATCAGGTTTCACCAGCGTAAGGAAATCAAAAGTGGTTTTTCTTCTTTGTTATGCTTCAATGAGGTTGCAACAGTTCCAGTACATGCATGTTCCATTCTGTTATCTTTGCAGATTGACATTCTGCCTCTCTTTTTTCTTTTTTTTTTTTTTTTTTTTTTTTTTTTTTTTATCTGTTCCATGACCTTCAACCTTTTTACTATGTTCCCCTTCAATAGTATTTTTTCTCAGTAATAAACCTTGAAAAGTAGCTTTGAGGTGGAATGTACTTGCTCATAATTTTCTCGTGGTTGTATCTGCATAATTTATTGCTCAAGGAAATTTCTTTTTTTTCCCCCTGTAAAAGTAATTTCTCCACACAGCTTAGTGGTACTTTCCACTCTTCTCTGACCTGAGAAGAGCTAGGTGCTCAGCAGTGCCTGTGAGGTTAATGTCTTGTGTGGAGCCCTGGCAGTCCCCCCCTGGTTTTACCAAAGATGTAGACTTGGATAATTCTCACTGAAGCTCATGCTCCAGAGAACCAGTATGTGTCCTACCACACTGCAACATACTGCATACCTAGCTAGACCAGCAGACCGGACTACCTCTTCATAATATTTTTGACCTTTCCATCTACTCATTATCATAATATAAAGAACATGAAAAATGCATTACTTTGCTCTGTTGCATGCCTCTAGGATCATGAAGAGAAGAATGCTTTAAATAATTACAATTACTGTGGAAAAGCTGGCACATTAGCTGAGAAAGATCCATGGTGTTACAGGAGGATTCATAAAAGTTCCGTCATAAAGAAAGGGAAAGAAATGGTCCCCTTAGTCTCTTTCTCTCTTTCTCTCAGTCTCTTTCTATTAATAAAAGATAGGAATGATGCTGCCTCCAGAAGTATAGGTACTTAAAAAAAGGAAATGAAACATCTTTTCAGTTAAAGGCAAATGAAAGATCATCAGAAGGAAGTACCATATTTCAGATAATCTGTACAGATCCTCAGAGGATCCAAATTTATAAAACCTCACTTAGACTATGCATCTTTTCATGTTGAAATGTGAATTTCACAATATATATGTACGATAATTTGAAAAGATGCATGCAAATGTTTACTGAAAATGCACATAAAATGCAACACATACCACATTCAAAAAGGCTACAAAACTAATGAAATTAGAAAGTACAATAGAAAAATTCCCTGACCAGAGCTTTAGAAGTACAGTCATTAATAATAAAAGATTGGTAAAGCCTTTTCTGTCCTACATAGCTAGTTAATTATGTTAAGACTGATTTCTTATGAAGTTCTTAAAAACTAGAGCACAGGAACGAATATGTATATATCACCAGATAGTTTATTACAATTTCTGTTCCATCTCTATTAAATGGTCCTATTTATTTTTCAAGTATTTAATAATGTATTACCTTTCATTTTAGTACATAAATAACTGCAGTTGCTGGAGTTTATATTTAAATGTGAAAATCCCAGAGTTCCAATTCATAATATGTAGGTTTTCTGCAGAAGAAGGATCTGATCCTAGAAAGATTTATATGTGTTGCTAAGTTAATGCTCTCTGAGTAATCCTGCTGAAGTCAAGCGAACTACTTAGAGTGTGCAAAGTTAAGTCCATTCATAAATTACTGCAGGATTCAAGCTGAACTGATATTCTTCTTTGTCATCTAAAAAAAAATATGCATTGCCAAACCTAAGAGCATGCAATACTGAATTGCAGCCTTTAATTAGTAGGATAGAGCTATCACAGTATAACTGAAAAATAGAGAATAATGAGTGTCATCCACAGATCAGAATGAATTGGTGGTTTTTGTTGCCTTCCAAACAGGCCAGTCAGATCATACTCTCTGCTTTTACTTAGTGTCCACTCCTTAGAGTGTGTTAATCCCATGCGGTCTGTCTGATTTCTTTATTATCTCTAGAGCCAATCACATCTTGACTAAATCACTGCAAGCCTGAAGAGATCAAACACCCCATTAAAGGAACTTTATGGGATTTAGGGTTTTGATGCCCGTGTCCTTCTTGCACATTGGAATTGAGGGAAAACATGGCAGCCTGAAAAAGGATTTCAAGAATTGTTCTTTACAGAGAGGGAAGACTGGGTTCTTACTTTACCAAAATATTTACTACCTTGGTCTTTTATTTCTCTGCTGGCAATGTCAGGGTTGTGAGATACCGAGTCACAGGTTCAAGGAGCTTCACAAGCACGCATCTTCTATGTGAAAGACAAATTCAGTCAAAATATAGGCACGACAATTTTTCTCGGTTGTGTGCAAGAAATTTGTATAGGCAAATCCTGGAGCAACTGCTGCAACCTCACAGCTGGAGAGCAATGGGATAAATGCTGGGTGTTGAGTCCACCCTCCAAATAATGGAAAAAACACTGCTACGTTTTTCAATGGGGCTGCTCAGGTGCCCAAGTTCAATTGAGGGTTTTGAGCTGGCACTCCTACTCCAATAAAGGTCTTGGCACAGCCTGGATTAGTTGTCTATGCCCAAGATAGGACTTTCAGGTACCCACTCTTGTTATGTCCTACTGTCAAGACTGTTTGCCACTCTGCTTAGCACGTAGCCTCTTTGAAATCTTTTCATCAAGCACAGGAAGATGCATGTGCAGGGCACTCTGCAGAGATGCTAAGCCACCTTCTGAGAATAAACTGAAGAATTTCCTTCATGTTTGACTTAAAATTTGATTCAATAATATGTCCTACAAATGGCATTTTGCCAACTGTCAGTGTGCCAAACTATTGTCCACATAGAAACAGCATTGTAACTTAATTTTGAAATTTATTATTCTTGAAAATATGTGATTAAGAAAGCAAGTACTCTTCCTGTTTTATTTTCATAATTGAAGCATGGACATTAGTAGTTCTTTCTCAAAGCAAATATATCAGTCTAATTATCAAAAAATGGCAAATACATATTTTGTTGCTTCTAAAGAGAATTGAAAGGATTCATTCTCTACCCGTAAGAATGATCTCAGGACAGTACAGTATTCTCCATTCACTAGCTTTTATATTTTTTTATAAATTTAATTTTATTTAAAGATTTAGAACATGTAATTATACACTAAAATATGCATCAAATACACATTTAACTATCTTTATAGAAAATCGAAGTCCAAATAGTCATACGGATTTCAGTTACACTAAGCATAACATACTGCACAGCACAACTCTGCAATAATTTAGTCCATAAAAATTAAAAACTTTTAGTGCAATTGCAGACCAAGGATCCACCGTTAGGCACTTTGCCATCATGTTTCTTAGTGGCTTTAGTTAAAGACAAGATCACCTCTTAGACCTGCTGAGGGGTCTTACAAAGAGCTTCAGGAGTTAGGAAACAAGGGCTAGGTAGTCTCTTGTAACAGAGGTAGAACTGCCTGGATAAATTCCTTTTTATTATAGCTTTTGAGGTTTTGAAGTTATGATTTTACTTCACTGTGTAATAGTACTGACTTCTCTATTCTTCAGAAAAACACATGAGACTTTCAGTTTTATAAAAGAATACAGAACAAGCCTGTAGGCATCAGTTAGGAGATGGAGGAGTTAGTTTCAAGTCCTTCTCTGGAGTAAGAGCAGAATCTTTTTTACCAGAGCCACATGAATCACATAATAGGGACTTGCAGCTACATCTACTCAGTGTCTCTTGAATGATTTTGACTAAACAATGACAAAACACAATTACATCTATGCAAAAGTGTTTTGACTTACAGAAGTAATGAAACACCTACAAGCAGAGATAGAGCCATGAAAATAGGCAAAACAGCTACATCAACCCACATGCTTTTCTCACGTTCTTAGCTTTGATTATGGAGCAAAAGACAGCAACCATGAGAATAGTTAGGTCTGATTCCCATGAACATTCAGGATCTCTGTATGTGATAAAAAGCTCAAAAGAAATGTTTTAAAATTTTTCCATTCTAAACCCCTTCAGAAGTCCAGCGTTCCATAAAATGTAGAGGGCAATCAAAGCTAAAATCCTCTACAGTCCTGCTAGACAGCAATATTACAGCAGAAGTTTTTAGTGGTAAAGACTTCATGTCTGGAAACAGCAATCTGCAAATTTTAGCCTCAAGTGGTTTCTTGCTGATAATCAAGATACATTTTCTTCCTCTTTGTTCATTCAAGTAAATATAATTTCACATCTTATAGAATGAAAAATAAATAATTTGTCCTTCTCCTTGATGTAGAATGGATTTCTAATCCTGCTTTCTTAATTTTTGCATCTTTCAATGTCAGCTTTGATGGAATCATGATGGACACAGAATTAAAATACCTGTGTCCCTAGCAAGAGTTATAACAAGGAGAAGGTCAGAAGGGGAAATAAAATCTGCATGCAGTCAGGGGACATCGAATTATATTTCTTGTCTGTAAGGTGGAATTGACCAGAACTTCATAGATCAAATATGCATTACACTTAATTGTGCTGATCTGCTCTGGGTTCCTATGGGTCTCGACCTGATCTTAACCTGTGGTGTCAGTCCCTTGTTTCTTACAGTAAACATTTGACAGTTTACACACAGGGTCCATGTGGCATTATTTTCCAAATAGTTTTCCTAAGCAGGAAAACCTTAGCAGGTATTATGGTGGGAGAGCTAGCCTCAAGGTATAGGTCCTATGCACGGCATACCCAACCAGTCTATGTCTTTTGGTCCAGAGACGGTGGGGTGCTCTCTGGTGTTGCTGTGCATTATTTCATTTTGCTATTTGGAGATTCTAATCTCAACCTCTCTAAGCTATTTTACTCTGTTTCCTTGCATTTTAGATATTCTTATGTCTTCTTATGTTATGATCACCTGAGTCTATTGCATACATATCTTTGAAATACTGATTTCCTACCAATGTCAAGGGATGTTTTTCGTACTTACTGCTGAAATCATATTCTCTGTCAATGTCCTGGGCAGGTGGGAGAGATGCCATCAGCACCACAATAATCAATTTCAATAATGAGAAGATGCAGATCACATGGGCAGCATCAGAACTATTTCCCGGCAAGAATGTGTCATTTTCTTATACGTGAGTATTGACAATGCCTATTCTTCTCTTCTTAAAGGATTTACTATGGGAGGCTGAAATATCTATGTCTATTTGAGTCTACTGTGAACTGTACCTGAGAATGCTTTTAACAGTTGTTAATCATCCAGAATGAAGCCTGTTTATATTCACCAGCTGCTACAGAAGTGTACAAATCAGAAAACTTGCTGAGCAGTCAGTCACAACAAACATTATATGAAAGATTTGTCCTTTTTCTGTTGTTGTACCAAAGCCTAATGCTAGTTACACCATTGAAAGAGCTTTTTTCACATATGAGTGTATATTTTCCTTATTAACTGATGTCATCAATGACCAACAAAAATTTAATGTTTTGTTTAAGGACAGGAATAGCACTTGATCTTCCCTTTTCTCTCTGACTGGTATACATAAAAGAACTTTTAGCATACAATCTTGGAAAGAGGTTAATGAAAACATCTGTTTAAGCAAGTCATTCTCTTATTAGAAAACAACAACAACAGCATGAAGGAAACTTGATAGTTCCAGACTGTGTCAAAACCCAGGGCTGGAAAGTCAATGAGGTTTGGGTAACAAATTCCCTCACACCGCTATGAAATTTGCTGCTTCAAGAAATTCCATACACGGACTTCCCTTGGTAAAATAATTTGAAAAAAAAAAAAAAAACATAAAAAGAAAGAAAGAAACAACAGTGACAAAAAGAAAAAAAAAGAAAAAGAAAAGGAATGAACTTGTGTTAACAGGTAACAGTGTTCCATTCATGACTACCATTTCATTTATAGATTTGATGAAGGCAAGAGCAAAGTTTGGAAGCCATGTCCCACCTATTTAGTGGATCAAGATTATAATTCTGGATGTCTCTTTAAGACAGAAGGACCCACCCTTGCCATCTCTATCAGGAACAACAATGGAAGTGAAGAGCTTTTTTCTAAAGCACTAAAATCTGATTTTTATAGTAAGTACATAAGATCACAGCTACTTTGATAGTCCTAGAGACTTCGTTGATTCTTTAGTTTTTCTTTACTTTGAGAAGAAATCAGGTATATTGGTGTATAAAATGTTATTAGTATGTGTGCCAAAACCAAACTATAGTAATTTCATGTTAATTTTCACCCCTTTTTTCACCCCAGTTTTTACCCTGGCCTTTGTGCAGCTGCAGCTAAGTGAGATTACATAGGGCAGCCATATTTGTCCCAAAACACAGTTTCAAAATCAGAATGAAAATGCTAAAATATGTGGATGTGCTTTGTCTAGTGCAGGCCTGCTCAGTATCCATATCAGGAAAATAAATAAAAGTTGGTAATTTCTCATCTTAGTGTTAGATGTGTGATCTTTCTTGTATGTTTAACCTTCTATTTTTTGTCATCTTCTATGGGATGTGAAGCAGCAAACTACTTATCCAAGAGGCTGGCATAAAACCATCATTGGATGTCAACAGAAATTAGTTCAGTGGCTCTGGTATAGTCTGATAGTATGAAAGATACTAGTAAAGAGACAAAATTCCTGTTTTATTAAATCCTCCTGCCCCCAAATACATATTCCACGTCTAGTATGAGATTAGTTTATTAAAATCTTCTGGAATTGCATATAGTTACAGCATTTAAAGCTGAGGTATTTTTTCTGATAAAAATCACAAGAAATCATAAAACGCAGAATTTTCTGAATATATATATATATATTAAAAAGACATTATTAGCATTTATTAATAATGTTTTAGCAAAGGGGATTAAACAAAAACCTGTCAAGGTATTGAACTTCGAGAATACTTTTGTATCTCATAGTTTTACTGATGTCTGGTAAACTATGGAAATCTGCAGCCTGATCCTTGAATTTTGGCTATTAAACACTCACAGATAGTAAAATGAATTTCAAAAGAGTTAGGTTAAAAAGCATAAGTATCAAGGATCAGATTTAAGTCTTTAAGTTAGGAAGGCGGAATTTTCATAATACAAACCATACATTTCCTAATAAGACAACTAGAAAGATTGAGAAAGCAGGGAACACTTCTCAGCCCTTTATTTCCCACTGAAGACTAACCAGCTACATAGATCAAACCATGGTGTGCTCTTCAGACTATCTGAAAGCAATGAAGGGCAGATTTAGTTGTGTGTGGGTAGGCATCCAGTGCCTTTTTCAGACTCTTCACCATATCCCGCATAGCCTTCAGCAGCTGCACAACTGTGTCTTGTAGCTTCTATGGGACTGAATTTGTCAGTTCCTTTCCAATGAAGAAGCCTCTTTCGATTGTGGGGAGAGTGGGGAGAGTAGAGCCCTTCCTTAATTACTTGAAATAGGTTTCTGACGTGAAATAGTATCTACCTTTGAATGTAGCACTTTGAATGGTGAGAAGTGTCATGGTGTAAAGTTCAATTTTGGTGTTTAACAGGGAGGTCAGCTACAAAAGTGTGTCCTCCAAGAAGAAAGCCCAATTTCTTCACTTATTACCTCAAGAAAAATTGAGATAAGGAAGAAATAACAATAATTTTAACTGTAAAGTGCTTCTTTTTAAGACACTATAGCATAATTTGTTGTTTTTCTTCTTAGTAAAGCCCAATCGACCAGAAAATGTGACTTTCTTCTGGAAAGCAGACACTGTTACTGTAAGCTGTAATAAACCAGAGAGAGCTGTGAGGTGCTTGATTCTTGAGCTTCAATACAAAAGCAAGTTTGACAAAGACTGGCAAGTGAGTTGATGTGCCATTTTTTATCAACATTGGAAGGAGCTGGAAGTAACTTTTCCATATAATGTAAAATAGGGTTGTTATCAGGTTGTTCTCCCTTCCTATAACTTCAAATTTATCTGGTAGCAGAAAATAGATTTTTAGGATCATGGATCCCTGTAATGCCAGAAAACATTTACTTTTTGAGTTATATCTAGTTCCCATGCAAAAAGCTGAGGAAAATTTAATGAAAAAGTCATATATTCAGAATAGAGGAATTTTGGAAGACAAAAGCAGAAAGCAGGGTAGTTAAGAGAGAAAAAAGAAGAAAAAACCCCATGAAATAGAATGAAAAAAAAGAGATAACACAGGATTTTAATTTATTCCAAAGTTAGTTATTAAGTATTTCTGAATATTATTTCATTGACTTAAACTTTTCCAGTCTCAAATATAACTTGTAATTATTTTGTGGCTCGAGGTGTCTTTTCGTATTGTAAATATGCAACTGTAATATAGTGTATTTTGTAATGATTGTTGTGACCTTCACTCAATATCAATGAGGAATGGCTATGAACTGTGAAGAGCCAGTCAAGAAGCAGAATTGTAACATTTTGAAACTCAGAGAAGTTAAAATTCAGTTCTGAGTTTTTAGGTTGACCTATCCCTTACCCTAATTGTTACCATGACTGAGTGTGGCAAATGAACACCATAATTAACAATTATATGCCTTCTTTCTCAGTCCAGAACTTCTAAGTGTTGCAGTGTTGGAGACCAAGGCTTTGATCCAAGGAAATGCTATTCTTTTCGGGTCAGACTGAAGAGGCTAGTACCCTTCTGCAACGTAGTTAATTACAGCAGTGACTGGGAAGCAGAAACATTTTGGAGGAATGGCAGATTATTAGGTAATACCAACATTCATGTATTGTCTAAGTTCAAATGAGGAAGGAGCGACTGCAAAAGAGGCTGGGAACGTGCAGCAAATTAATGTTGCGGTGTTGTGCTCCATCTTCTGTTATCAAAGAAAGTTCATGTGGATGTATAATTGTCCACGTTTAACTCCTATTCACTTTGTTCCTGATGACCCATAGCACTATCAATTTATCCCATAATCAGCAAAGTTAAAAGCGTCATTGTTTGTGTTACAATATCTCTAGGATTCACCAATAACAGCTATGTGATGGATGGTGTGTGCATGTGGTGGCGGGGGTGAGGGTAAAGGGGTAGGAGGGTGACATATACAATAGGTGGACATCAAACTTGAGCCCTAAGAAAATCCTTGATGCCCGATTTTTGAAGGTAGATGATTTTGAAAATGCATCCAGTTGAACTACAGGACCAGAGGTTACAGCAGTCTGATGCTTATATGTGCTGGATTGATCGAAACAGGGAGGATGGGGGAAAGGATATGAAATGGAAGCAAAGTGAGTATCAGCACTGCTTTCCCACCAGGCAGACACATTTAACTGAGTGTGATTGACTTTGATGAGATCTTTGATGGAAACAGTATTTCTACTGGTTATCAAAATTTAAAAAAGAAACAACCAAAACCAACAGATTTGCTGTAGTAAAGAAAGACTGTACACCATCCCAACACATTCGTATCATATCAGCTAAGCACACAATGCCACTCACTAGGCTTTATCAGAACTATAAGACACCCAGGTGTCCAGTGTGCCCAGATCCGAGTTCTCTAAAATGCAATGGGCTATTAGTTCACCTGAAAAAAAATCTATATACAAAAATCTGGGATGAAATCCTGGAGCATAGCTATGTGTAGCCTGTGCACTAGTAGTAGCCACAGTGCTGACCTCCAGAGCAGCCTCATCCACCATGCAAATTGTGAACCTTCAAGCGTGTCCTCGGGTGTGACTGACAAATGCCCTAAGAAAAGCACAGAGGACAATGTCTCCCTGTGCACCACTGAGAGGTGAGCAGATAACAGCCCTATCTGGACCATTTGACCAGAGGCTTCCAGCAGGTAACTGCAAGGAAGGAAAGCACGGAGGAGACAGATTAACGGTTCAGTTGCCCTGGGTGCCCCTGGATCAGAAGTGACATTGGTACAGCCCCTTCACTGCAGCAAGCACTTCACTTCAGGACTTCAATGAGTTGTTAGTGAGCCCAATTTTATCATCAGAGGAAGCTATGAACAAAGCTGTGCTCAAGAAATCTCATAAATTCTGAATATCTTACTTGGGGATCACAACTTTTCTTGTGGCTTTCCGGCAAGCTGAACAAAGCAGGCAGGGGGAACAGGCTGGACATTTGCTCCCGTATGAATAATTACTTAGTTTTTTAAAGTATTTATGTGGAGACCAGAAGCCCAATAGTAGTAGGAAGAGTTTTCAGGTGGCATTACAAAAGCTTCAGGAAGAATGCTGAGAACGTGGAAAAGTGCACAAATGCATTCGTTTTATATACCTCCATGTTAGATATCCTGCCACTAGTTACTTTCTGGTAACTAATCCGATTAGGAATATTTAGTGCTAAAGCAAAAAATATTTTTTTCACATACTTTTTTTGTGGTTATTCCTAGATTCATGTGATGATGATACAAAATCTCACTCAAACACAGTAATAGTTTTAAGTTGTTTGCTGGCAGTACTTCTAATGATGCTTATCCTCTTGGTTCTTCTGTGTAAATGGCAGAGGTAAATACAGTTTTATTGGTTATTACTAAATAATCATGTCATGAAAATAGAGCCATCATTCATTATCTCAGGGGTGAAGTCACTATGAAGATGTAGAAGTCAGTAGCTTAATTACTGTTTGAGCAATAATGTGTCCTGGCCTTACAAACACCAAAGCCTTTCATTTTCAAAACTAGAACAATTCTGGCAAAAGACAGATTTTCAGGGTAAAATTCTGTCTCTTCCACTTAATTTCTTCTTATTCTTTTCAGAAAACTAGTAAAATCCTGAGAAAGCAATTATTTTGGATATTTCTTCTGAACTGACAATCTTTTGTGCAACTTTCGTTAGACTCAATTTCTGTTTGCAGTAGGCTGAAGTAAGCTTGAGTGCATTCACCTTTACTAAGACTATATCAATATTTGGATTTGCAGTTGAATGACTCTGTTCATGTTTAGAATCCATAATTTAAAAATAACCCCCAAAAAAACACAAAATAAAACACCAAATACCAAATGAAACCCTCAAAGACCCCAAATTTGAGGCTTTTGGTGGAAAAAAAAAAAGGCAAAAAATGCAGTATTTTTAGAGCTGAAAGTATATGGGGCTCTGATATTTTTAGAGCATAAGCTGAAATTTTTATCCTATACTTCTAAGTTTCATGTTTACGTTTGTGTTTACTAAATCAGCCAATACAGCTGGCTGCTGCATCATCTTCCCTGTCTAGGGGAATGTGGCCAGGCAACGCAAAGCTCTGCCTACTGTATGGAGGAGAACGGCATTTGCTGACTAGCCAGAAGTTTGCATAGATTTTCCTAGGATAGGATTAGTTGAAAATCCAGCAGAAAAATCACTCTTATCCTGGTAGTGTTATCATATTGTTAGAGCTGCTTGTTGCCTTTAGAACACATTTAAAAGTAGTCAAGCCTTGAGTACTGACATATAAAATATATTCATGGCTACAGAACTGTGCTGAAGTAGATTTTTGTATGAATGAGTACACTATAACAAAGCATCCATTAGTATTTTTCTTTCCTCTCTGCAGGCTTCAGAAGTCAGTCATGCCTACTATACCAGATCCAAAATATGTATTTGCTGATCTCTTCAATGATCATAATGGAAACTTTCAGGTAAACGTTCCCTTCCTACAACGCTGTAAACTCTAAAATGTTGAGAATAATTTAAGAGTAGCTGCTGGTACTTGCTCTATACAGAGATCAACATGAGCGCGCTCTGACCCAAGAGAAAAGCTCTTCCCTCATGCAACATCACCAAGAAGATCCACAGAGCAAATACCGGAGCTCATACAATCAGTCTAGTGCTGCTTCGGCACTGTGAAAAGACACTTGCTATAGAAAGAGAAAATGCTGGAGAAGAATTAGAGGGTGTCCAGCTGCACAATATTCAGTGAGGTGCCATTGTGTTGTTTGCTTCCATTCCTGTGCACGATAGCTCAGGGAGCTTGCTTCAACCTGACCTGGCCCTTGATGTTTCTGAAGTGCTGTGAGACTTAGTGCTGAGCCAGCGATAGCACTCATGCCTTTGGAGGCATCAGTCACAGTAGGAAGCACCTTGTCTTAGCCACAGAGATATATGGTCGCTAAACTTTTAGACATGAAATGGCAGTGAAATGGATAGACCACAGTTTTTGCTTTTATTTTCTTACTGCCTCTTGAGTCCATGACATCACACATGCAGTGAATTTTCTGTATTAGTTAGGCTGTCTTTATCTTAATTACTACTAAGTTTACTATGAATGGAGACAGGTCATATATTTATATGGCTACAGAACTGTGCTGAAGTAGATTTTTGTATGAATGAGTACACTATAACAAAGCATCCATTAGTATTTTTCTTTCCTCTCTGCAGGCTTCAGAAGTCAGTCATGCCTACTATACCAGATCCAAAATATGTATTTGCTGATCTCTTCAATGATCATAATGGAAACTTTCAGGTAAACGTTCCCTTCCTACAACGCTGTAAACTCTAAAATGTTGAGAATAATTTAAGAGTAGCTGCTGGTACTTGCTCTATACAGAGATCAACATGAGCGCGCTCTGACCCAAGAGAAAAGCTCTTCCCTCATGCAACATCACCAAGAAGATCCACAGAGCAAATACCGGAGCTCATACAATCAGTCTAGTGCTGCTTCGGCACTGTGAAAAGACACTTGCTATAGAAAGAGAAAATGCTGGAGAAGAATTAGAGGGTGTCCAGCTGCACAATATTCAGTGAGGTGCCATTGTGTTGTTTGCTTCCATTCCTGTGCACGATAGCTCAGGGAGCTTGCTTCAACCTGACCTGGCCCTTGATGTTTCTGAAGTGCTGTGAGACTTAGTGCTGAGCCAGCGATAGCACTCATGCCTTTGGAGGCATCAGTCACAGTAGGAAGCACCTTGTCTTAGCCACAGAGATATATGGTCGCTAAACTTTTAGACATGAAATGGCAGTGAAATGGATAGACCACAGTTTTTGCTTTTATTTTCTTACTGCCTCTTGAGTCCATGACATCACACATGCAGTGAATTTTCTGTATTAGTTAGGCTGTCTTTATCTTAATTACTACTAAGTTTACTATGAATGGAGACAGGTCATATATTTATATCGGCCAAGAAGGCCAACAGCATCCTGGCCTGTATCAGGAACAGCATGGTGAGTAGGACCCAAGAGGTGATTGTCCCCATGTACTCGGCACTGGTGAGGCCTCACCTCGAGTACCGTGTCCAGTTTTGGGCCCCTTACCACAAAAAAGACATTGAGGTGCTGGAGTGGGTCCAGAGAAGGGCAACGAAGCTGGTGAGGGGTCTGGAGAGCAATTCTTATGAGGAGAGGCTGAGGGAGCTGGGGTTGTTCAGTCTGGAGAAGAGGAGGCTGAGGGGAGACCTTATCGTGCTCTATAACTACCTGAAGGGGGAGTGTAGAGAAGCAGGGGTCAGTCTCGTCTCCCAAGTCACAGGAGATAGGACAAGGGGAAATGGCCTCAAGTTGCACCAGGGGAGGTTTAGATTGGATATTAGGAAACATTTCTTCACAGAAAGGGTTATCAAGCATTGGAGTAGGCTGCCCAGGGAAGCGGTTGAGACACCATCCCTGGAGGTGTTCAAAAGACGGGTTGACATGGTCCTCAGGAGTATGGTTTAGTGGTGTGGTTTTTTTGTTTTGTGGTGGTTTTTTGTTTGGTTTTTTGTTGTTGTTGTTGTTTTTGTTTTGTTGGGGGTTTTTGTTTGGGGTTTTTTTTTTTGGTTTTTTGGGTTTTGTTTTTTTGTTTGTTTTTTGTCAGAGTTAGGTTGATGGTTGGACTAGATGACCTTTAAGGTCCCTTCCAACCTAGACAATTCTATGATTCTATGATTCTATGATTTTATGATTTTCAAATCCAATGAAAATATCAAAGAGTAGTAATAACGTTTCAATGACAAACTGAAAGCTTTCTATATACAAAATAGCTTTAAACTGAAGAAGAAAGATATAAATGCAAATGAATACTGAAGCTTTAATACAGAAATGCTACATTTTATAAATCTCCATGTAAAATCAGTCTCAATTTAGATTAAGTCAGGGCTTCAGTTAAAGAATGCATGAATCTGTCAAAGAGGGAACACCAGCTATTTAATACATCCAAGATTTTCTAAGGGCCCTGATTAAATACGAAGATGTATATAATGTGGTCTCAATAATCAGTAGGAGTTTGTATGCATTTGTGGAATCCTGTCTGCTTTCCTGCCATCCTGCCTTTCTTCCATCCTGCTATCTTATGTCCTGCTTGTCTATATTACTTCCATTTCATCTTTGCTGTGGCTTATCCTGGAAAGATGCCATTACTAAAGGAAAATCAGTGTCTCTACAGCCAGGTTTTTTTTGATTGATATCTCAGTCCCTGCCAACATCAATATTTTCATTTTCCTAGGAATGGATAGACAAAAGTGATCATGCAGCGGTACAACCCAAGCTAGAATATGAAGAGCCAGAGTGCATCATTGAGGCAGAAAGCCAGCAAGAAGATGAGAAGAATAGTGACAAACAGGGGCCTCAAGAAAAGATCTTCAGTTTTTCAAGAGCAGCTGAAAATAATGACCCCAAAGCAGCTCAGATTGCCTGCATGATGCCAACATCCAACACTATAGCTTCTTTTGCTGGCTTCCGGGTTTTAATGAATGATGACATGTATGTGATGTTATAAAGTCTGCATAATTACATAAAAGATCCTGATGAGTTTAGGGGAGTGGCTGAATAGAAAAGTTTGTCATGAAGAGACTCACATCAAGAAAGACACTCGGCTGTGTGAGCTAATTTCAGATCAGTTCTCTCCCAGCACATATGACCACTTGGGCAGACTCAGTGTTTGAAATACCCACCTGATAATAAATAGGGTTAGGATTTGTTGCTTTGATTGGGGTATATCTCTAAGACTAAACCGAGTCTCCTTTTCCTGCTACGAACAGGAGAGAACAAGAGCTCCTCCATAAAATACATGTTCACAGAGCTGAGACTCAGTCCTTGAAGAGTGAAAATGAAGGGATTTTTCTGATTATGGTCTTTGTCTCACAAAGACCAGGCTATATAATCCTAATTTTCACAGTGCTAGGATACTGCTTTGCGATCCCTTTTTAAGGGTAGAAGAATTGCTTTTGTAAGCTGCTTCTCCTAGTGTGAAACTTTTTACTGCATGGCAAACATCAAAGGTTTTATAAAGAGAAAGAATAAACCCCATGTCTAAGAACAGAAGAGTGAGGATGTACAGTATTGAGTCACTTTTTATCCTGCAGGTAATGCTGTGTAGGCAGCTTCCTCCAGAAGAGCAGGGACCATGGGTCTCCTCTGAGGTCAGGTCCGCAGTATCTTATAGGCTTTGTATGAGTAAGCAGCTTCTTCTGGAAAGCTGAGGTCCATTTTGAACAATATTTATGTTTAACTCAGTTGCATTTATTTCAAACTGGTTTTAGTGCAATCAGCAGCTGACCCAAATTAGGATTTCTTATTCATACTGCATAGACCAGTCTCTTGTTCTCAAACGATGTTCTAATGTTTTCAAAACATATCATCTTCTAAAGTATGTCTTATTTTAAATTTAATATGCAATATACTATGGAATTATATCTCAGAAATAAAATATTGACTAGCCTGTGAGCTTCCCTGTATCACTTAGGTTATTTTCTATTTGAAGGCAAATTTTGTAAAAAAGGTTAAGTGCCAGAAACATCTATGATATGGGTAAAGTCTTGTAGATATACAAGACTTTATGTTGAATGTATGTTATTATATGTTGAATTAACCTCAGTTATTTACCTGGATATCAGTCAATCATTAAATGCCTTAATCAGTTGACTAAGCTTTGTCATTCTGTACTTTCATTGACTAATTTATAGTGTAACTTGGAAATGGCATGTATCAAAAAATTGCAATTATTAGTAAAATAACTTTAATTCAATGTTTAAAAAAATTCAACTCCAGATCTCATTGGGAACAGTAAATGTAATATGAATCATTAGGTCTCAAAATCTTTTTCTAAGTGACCCAGTTTGCTGTACAAGGAAAAATCCAGAAATTTTCTGGCCCGTGACTGGGAAACTTAACTGGAAGTTCAGCCACATTTTCCAAGTTTTTCTTGACCTTACATCAGATTTGATTGTTCTTTCACAAGATTAACATGCTAAGAAAAAATTTCCTATAATCTTGAAGAAATTTCTGCCTTTTTCTATCTAAAATAGATGTGTGCAAGTTTTGGGGGGCCTTTTGTACATCCCATATGTCTGGAATTTTTTTATAAAGGTAACCATGAAAGTTTCAATAACACTGTAATGTAGTGGATTTTAAACTAATGCAAGCTGCGTGTAATTTCATGAGCAGAATCTAGCTTAGGTCTTCTCAGCTGATATAAATCGCCATTATTACATGAGAACCAAAGAAGTTACAGTGGCTTACAATACATAAGAAGCTGTTCCAGTAATGATTCAAACAATACAGTGGGAACTGAATCTCAGAACATATTGCTTAGTTACTTCATGTTTGAACCACTCATTTATATAGTAGTCTACAGAGCTAGACAGATACCTTAATTAAACCACCTTCTGTTGAGAAAATACTTTTCTGTCTGAATTCAAAATCTTTTTGTATATTTTCATGAAATGCTACTGGGGGTGGGGGGAAAGAAGAAAATCATGTTGAAGTGTACTATTTAAGCAGTGTTCCTGAACTGAAATGTTGTAGTCCTTTAAGTTCTTAGTGCAAAGTACAATATCTTGTGTGATATTTTATAGACATGAAGGTTCTTTTTGTGTATGTATACAACTATATTCACATTGTTTATAAAAAACTAGAAATAAAACAAGTACAACACCCAAATATCTCAAATATTTATTTTAAAAAACATCCTCTTATGAAGAAAATAAAACATAGGGAATTATTGACATGCACACCAAAACATATTTCAAAAAAAACCCAAACCCTTCAATTCCTGGAGAACTCTAGAAGAATGTCTATAGAATGATGAAGAACAGGATTTAAGCAACAGGAAAGGTCTTCTCCCAAATATCAAACACGGCACAACAAGACACATACCAAATTAGCAACACTGATTGCTTGTGGGTATTGAGGGTACTGGGGGAACCCAGGCATGTCCCTGAGCTCTGCTCTCCTGGCACCTGCCATAGCCTGTCTCTGATGAGATGTAGACACTCACAGCCCTCAACCACAGCAGGCACCGCTCTCCCAGCAAGGATGCCTGCTGCCTGTGGCACCCTCTGCCCCAGCTCCTGGAATGAATTGTTGGGAACCAGTGCTCCTGGGCACACATGGCTTCGGGCTGAACCGCTGTTCAGTGAAAGCTCAATGAGAAGATCAGAGAAGCTGGACCCAGACTAAATGCATCTGAATGGTGGAACAAAATGTCGTCATGAAAATATGATTGAATGCTTTCTACACCAAATCTAAGAGGGTTTGGACAAATCTGGCACTTCAGAGAATAGTATGAGCAAGTCAGATAAGTTTGAGAACACAGTTTCCTTTCAGTTATGTTGTATACCAATCACCCCATCTTCATATCAGGATTCGTTTCTCCTTTATGACATATTGACTGAGATAATGCCTTTAGCTTATGTAGGTTATAGACTTGCAAGGCATCACTTTGGTCCCAAGCCATTCAGGAGAGACAGCTGCCTCCAACAAAACTCTTGACCTTCTAAGACTGTAGCATAATGATGCATATTACCTTGCTGTTCAAAAAAAGGCACTTTCTTTACATTATTAAAATAAAGCTTTCTCACCCGTCTTTGCTTGTTGGCCTAGTGCTGGTTTTGCAGGAGAGTACTGGGCAGTTTTGTAGCAAAATTCAAGAATCATTTACTGAAAGGAATAACAGGCTGGCTTGCTGCTTTCAACTACTGTCACAGCGTCGAGTTGCAAAGAGAGTAATGTGAGGCTTCCCTTATCACTCATCTGACATTTTCCATCATTTGTTATCTCTTTCTCTTCTGTCTCCTCTCTCCTCTCCTCTCCTCTCCTCTCCTCTCCTCTCTTCTTGTTTCCCAGATGGTCACACAGCTGTGCAACCCGTCTCTCAGAGCAGGCGTGCAGTGATTCATGCAAGCTTAGCTACAAATGAGCAAATTAAATGGCCAGACAGGAAAAGGCCTGTTCAACTCCCCACAGTGAGAAGAAGGATACACGGCAACTTTCACATCTTCCGTCTTATTTATTCAAAAGTTGTCATGTTCTTCAAAGGCATGAGTCCCTCAGATGCTACATCTTGTTCCTAATTATATCCCACAGAAAGGGAGAAACTGTGTATCATATGGTAGTCCAGACTAATTGAACTGTGTTTTCTCAACAGCAGAACAAACAAACCGTATATTTATTCCTCATGCAATTTATGTGCTAGCTATACCAGCTGAGCCAATTTACATTGATAGATTGAACATCTATGCTGTTTGCTTTGCTTTTGATGTCTGATTTTCAGTGAGAGGAAAAATAGGAGGAAATCACGTGGTTGTTTTTAAACAAGTAACAGTAATTATTGAAGCCAGCCTTGCAACTTCTGCTTTCTCTCTTTTTTTCTTTTTTTGTTGCTTGTTTTTGTTGTTTTGTTTTTTTCTTATTACATTAGTGTTTTCCAATTTATTTGGAAATATGTTTTGCACAATTGTCAAACACATAATTTTGAGCAGAAAATGGTGCTTCTTTTGTAATGAGCCTAGAATTTTCTTACAGTGTATTCATAGAAACTTTCAAAATTATCCTTGCTTTTTGATGTGTGGCTTAGATTTTTACAGTCACTGAACTCAGCCATGCAAACATAGTTTATTTTGTTTTGCCCTTTCCTGAAATCAATGTCATGAAAATGGAGGGTCACACCCACTGAATTCTTGAAAGACTGGACTAGATACAACCATATTTTTTTTTTAAAAGCCACGCAGGTCTAAACTTGTCAAACCAAGGGCAAATTATCAGCATTTTCTGTGGGAAAAGAAAACATGGCCCTAATTGACCTTTTGTCACTGAGTATCTAAGTAGTCATCTATCACCAACTAATCCAGTGGCCAAAAGAGCGTTACACAGTAAGAGAAGAAATGCAATAATAACTCATCCCATCCTGAAGATTTCTCATAACCCTTATGATTTGTGAGCTGGACTAGTGTCATCTGCAGGGCTTGTTCCTGCTCAGTTTCTTGCTGGCAACTGCCAGCACTAAGTTTTGTAGAAGGAAAATAGCAGCTGCACGCTTACTCTGGGCAATATCTGGTCCCTGCGTACATCCACGCTTGCCATGTGGCAAGCTTGGAGAGGAGCCCACAACTTGCAACACGAGAAGCTGCAGCTGTTTGGGGTTCCTCTCTCCTCCTCACCTGAACACGGAGCAGGCAGAGACAGAGCCCAGCTTTCCTCCGTGCCCCAGAGCCCCACAGGAGATGCTTTATCACAGGCTGGAGAGCCTCTTTCCTACTGAAACAACACCATTTCTTTCTCAAATCAAAATGCATGGGATTAGTGATAGGGTTCATATCTACTTGCTCTGTAGCTGGAGCTTCTGGTGTCCAAGCCTTAGAGGGTAAGTGTGAGAAAGACAATACGCACCATATTTAAAAAAAATGTTCCTGCATATATGTAGGCAGACTTAAAAATGTTACCAGAAGAGGGACCAAAGGAATATCTTTACCATTCTGAATTATATAATATTATTATTATACAGAACAGAAGAGGAACAGATATTCTCTCATGGCTTTATTTTGCTTTCCCCTTATGATTTGTGAGCTGGACTAGTGTCACCTGCAGGGCTTGTTCCTTTCTGCATTCTTTGTATCAATATACCCAAGGATCACTATTTTTTAAAAAATGTTTCCTGTTCTATATTGCTCTGCAAAAGACTTCTGTTAAAAAGTAGCTTCTATCCCTGTGTTCTTGGAAGGTTGTTAAAGGGAAGAATATAATTGGTTTCAGCTTTTTAATAAGAAAACAAGAGAGGTTGATAAATTGTAGGCAATATGTCTTGTAAGGTCAAGATACAGAGTGAGCTATATCCTAACATTAGCTCTTTGCACTGCTAGGTGATTATATAAGTAAGAGGAAAAAATTCAGCACAGTCCCCTGAAAGAATGCAGAAGCTCGGATATCCATAGAAGGCATACAGCTCTCTTAGAAAGTGTCCTTAGTATACCTCTTAACTGGGGAAGAGATGAAAGTCACCAAGAGTAAGATGGAGAGGGACATGTTACCTACACTGCTGTGTCTCAGCACAAACAGCTCTGCTTTGTCCAGTGACTCTTTAGCATGATGAGGCCCATGGAAAAATGATCAGCCCCTGCTTTTTGTTGGGCCTCTAAATCTCTGGGCTGCTTAGCCACATATCTCTTATCCCTCTGAACCAGCCAGGCTGGAAGGGTAAAAGAGCTGAGCTTCAAAAGAAGGGTGTAGAACAGCATATGCAAATGCACTGTGGTTTTTAATGAGTACAGGAGTGACCTTTTGTCACTGAGTATCTAAGTAGTCATCTATCACCAACTAATCCAGTGGCCAAAAGAGCGTTACACAGTAAGAGAAGAAATGCAATAATAACTCATCCCATCCTGAAGATTTCTCATAACCCTTATGATTTGTGAGCTGGACTAGTGTCACCTGCAGGGCTTGTTCCTTTCTGCATTCTTTGTATCAATATACCCAAGGATCACTATTTTTTAAAAAATGTTTCCTGTTCTATATTGCTCTGCAAAAGACTTCTGTTAAAAAGTAGCTTCTATCCCTGTGTTCTTGGAAGGTTGTTAAAGGGAAGAATATAATTGGTTTCAGCTTTTTAATAAGAAAACAAGAGAGGTTGATAAATTGTAGGCAATATGTCTTGTAAGGTCAAGATACAGAGTGAGCTATATCCTAACATTAGCTCTTTGCACTGCTAGGTGATTATATAAGTAAGAGGAAAAAATTCAGCACAGTCCCCTGAAAGAATGCAGAAGCTCGGATATCCATAGAAGGCATACAGCTCTCTTAGAAAGTGTCCTTAGTATACCTCTTAACTGGGGAAGAGATGAAAGTCACCAAGAGTAAGATGGAGAGGGACATGTTACCTACACTGCTGTGTCTCAGCACAAACAGCTCTGCTTTGTCCAGTGACTCTTTAGCATGATGAGGCCCATGGAAAAATGATCAGCCCCTGCTTTTTGTTGGGCCTCTAAATCTCTGGGCTGCTTAGCCACATATCTCTTATCCCTCTGAACCAGCCAGGCTGGAAGGGTAAAAGAGCTGAGCTTCAAAAGAAGGGTGTAGAACAGCATATGCAAATGCACTGTGGTTTTTAATGAGTACAGGAGGTCCTTCTTACTAAAAACAAGGGCAGTAAGAGCCTGACTTCATGGAATCACAGAATCATAGAATGGCTAGAGTTGGAAGGGACCTTAAAGATCATCTAGGTCTAACCCCACTAGACCAGGTTGCTCATAGCCCCATCCAACTTCTACATGTCCTGTGAGTCCTCTCATTGCTGAGCTATAAGGTTAGGCAGAGAGAGGATGAGGGGAGGGTCTCTTACCTCACTGGTCAGACAAGTGTTGCCCAGCATTTCATGGATACTCAAACAAGCAGACAGCAGAAGCAGGCATACTGGTCTGCAAGGTAAAAAAACACATTTCCAGTGCATTAAATTATCATAGTCCAGGTGAAACTATTAGATACAGACAAAAGTTTGCCTCTACTTTACGGTAAATCTTGCCATGAACGATGACGTTACCGCTAGAAAATGGACTTGCTTGGGGAATTATCTCTTATTAGGCAGTCAAGACTTTAATCTTCATTTCCATCCAAAAGATTCTTCATCTAGAAGCTGAGAAGCTGAAGCAGG